CCAGGCCTAGTTCCTCCAACTTGACCTCGGATACTGGCAGCATGTACTGGACTGTAGCCCATCTTTTGTGCCCGGAGCGTCTCAGAAGAAATTCTTCTTCTTCAGGCAGTAACGGCATTGAGGCTGTGACATCAGCCGTGTCCATCTCGTCCTCAGAGGTTTCTTGGACACTAGACAGAGGGGGAGAACCCACAGGTTCTGACAGCCCTGCTGGATGTACTGTGGGGCCAGCTATGTTTTGCTCCTGCCCCATTTGTGAGGTTGCAGCTTTCTCTCTCTTACCCAAACCTTGTATGTCACGGTACCTGACTTAATGTCAACCATGCCTGTTACCCACGCAGGGCCATTCCCATGGTTTCAACATTAAAATTTGTTCCCTGAAGTCAACTGTATCTCTCACTTAGAAGAGTTTTGCATCCGGCATTAGTGTTCTTGATGCCGTTACCTACCCCAGGTCTGGGATTAAACCTGGTGTGGAGTCTTCTCCCCATCAGCAACTCTGCTGGGGCTGTCCTTGTAGTTGTGTGAGAAGTGGTCCTACAATCAAATAGGAACCAGGTCAGTTCGTGTGAAGCTGGAGGCTGTTTCTTTAAGCCTACCTTCAAAGTTTGGACTGCTCTTTCCACCAGACCATTGCACTATGGATGGTATGGAGCCCACTGCTGAATTCAACCTGAACCTATGGGTGGCATGGCCCTGTCCACTTTAAGTGGCCGTAGCAGGGGTTTGTGGTTCGTTGCTATTACAAATTGATGTCCGGAAAGGTATTGGTGGAACTTTCTTCCACCAATGACGACCACCAAACCTTCCTTCTCTATCTATGTGTATTTTCATTTGGCCTCAGCCAAAGTCCAGAAAGCAAGTGATATCAGGTGTTCCTCTCTGTTGGGCCACCAGTAAGCCAACTCTACCCCAATACCTTACGGGGAGGCAACAGATCTTGCTGGGATCATACTGTGCCAAAGCCTTAGTTGATGATAGCTACTTCTTCACTTCCCTAAAGGCTACATCTTGGCTACGAGACCATTTCCAAGGCTCCCCCTTTTACAATAGCAGGTTTAGGGGTGCCAGGATGAAGGCCAGGTTGCACATGAACATTCTGTAATAATTCACCAATCCAAGGAAAGACCTAAGCTCCAAAACACACATTTTTCCCTTCTAAGGCATACACCCGCCTTGGAGAAACGCCTAAGGACTATGTCCAAGTTTCCTAAGTGCTCCTTATTGGTCTTCCCAGTTAGTAGCACGTCATCCAGATAAATGGTGACCTGGCGTAGATCTTGTAAAATGTTCTCTATTGTCCGCTGAAAAACACAAGTCCCACTTATATAAATCCAATTAATAAGGCAACAATAAATTAAAACTTAATCTCTCCAAGTTCGCACAGAATGTGTCTTCTGGAATGCTCCGTCTTCTCTGTCAATTATCTGTCAGGAACATTTTCTTTCTGCTGTTCTCTGTAATTTATTCTGTGAGGACTTCGAACTATAAAAAAAATGCTGTGGTACCTTTGATGGGGCTTTTTAGAGAGCTTAATGATTTTGTGTGAAAGCCAGGTTTATGCAACAGATGGTCGATTTGCTTTCGCTTCAGATGGTAGTTGGCTATCTGCCGACTTTCCAAATGTTCAAGGTTTTTGAGAAGATTTGTAAATGCCTTCTTTTTTATACCTTTGATGACCTTTCCATTTCTTACACTAGGATTGGTCCCTGGTTGTCAATGCCATCAGATTTAAATTCAATTGGCTTTCAGTATCTAGGGCCTCGTTTAAATTAATTAGCTAAATTCAAAAACCTGTTGTCTTGGTAAAAATGCTGCTTTGCCTACTAACAGTTTAATCCTTCGATACACATGTTTCAATTCATGAACTGTCTGTAATCAGCTGCTGCTTGCAGACACATTTTTCTGTATAAATTACCAAGCTTAGAAAAGAACTCTATCTCTTAAAAGGATCACACATTTTTTCTCCCTTATTATTTTACAAAGACATTCTAGCTTCCTGCCTTCCAATTCATGAGTAATCTACACAACTTCAGAACACAAGAACTTTCAAAAGTTTACTGGAGTAGACTGTTCGCAGGTAAAGGGATGTCTGACAAGTGGGAGGTTTTCAAAAGTGTGATAATGAGTGTTCAGAGTCATTATCTTCCTGTTAGAGTGAAAGGTAAAGCTGGTAGGATTAGAGAACACTGGATGAATAAAGATATTAAGGTCCTAGTCAAGAATAAAAAAGGATCATATATTAGATACAGACAACTTGATTCAAATGAATCTCTTGAACAGTATAAAGAGTGCACGGGCATTCTTAAAAGGGAAATCAGGAAGACAAAGACAGCATATGAGATAGCATTGGCAGGTAAAGTTAAGGATGATCCAAAGAGATTCTACAAGTACATTAAGAGTAAGAGAGCAATTAGAGAGACACCTCTTAAAGATCAAAGAGGTCGTCTTTGTGTTGAAACCCACGAGATGGGAGACATAATAAATGAATATTTTGTGTCAGTTTTTACTGTGGAGAAAGAAATGGAGGCGAGAGACGCAGGGAAATAAATATTGAAAACAGGTCACATTACAGAAGAGGATGTGCTGGAGGTTTTAGAAAATATAAAGGTGGATAAATCTCTGGGACCTGATCTAGTGTATCCCAAGATGTTGTGGGAAGTTAGGGAGGAAATTGCAGGGGCCCTTTCAGAGGTATTTGTATCATCTGTAACTACGAGTGAGGTGCCAGATGACTGGAGAGTGGCTAATGTTGTGCCTTTGTTTAAGAAGGGATGTAAGGACAAGCCTGGGAACTACAGACCTGTGAGTCTAACTTCGATGGTGGGTACGTTGTTGAAGGTGATTCTGAAAGATAGGATTTATATGCATTTGGAAAGGCAAGGAATGATTAGGAATGGTCAGCATGGTTTTGTGCGAGGGAAATCATGTCTCACAAACTTGGTTGAGCTTTTTGAGCAAGTAACCACAACAACTGATGAGGGCAGAGCAGTAGACAATGTTTACTTGGACTTTAGTAAAG